CTGCTGCTGCTGCTGCTGCTGCTGCTGCTGCTGCTGCTGCTGCTGCTGCTGCTGCTGCTGGTGGTGCTGGTGGTGCTGGTGGTGGTGGTTCCGGGGCGGGTCTTGCTGCTGCTGAGGAATTGACAGCAAGAGTCGCGGGGCCCGCAAACGCCAGCAGCAGCCATTGGAGGCAGCAGCAGCAGACTCCACTGAGCAGCGACGCAGCAGCAGCAACAGCTGCTGCTGCTGCTGCAGTTCCGACTCTGCCCCCCTGCTGCTGCTGCTGCTGCTGCTACTGCTGCGCTCCCCGCTGCTGCTGCTGCTGCATGCCGCTTCCAAGAACGCCGGCGCCCGCGAAACCCGCAGCAGCAGCAGCAGCAGCAGCAGCAGCAGCAGCAGCAAAAGCAGCACTGCTGCAGCCTCGAGAAATCGCGAAAAGTCCTGCGCGGGACGCGCCGCGAGGGTTTGGAGGCCCGCAGGGCTCACGTCGAGTTAGGGTTTAGGGTTTAGGGTTTAGGGTTCAGGATTAGGGTTTAGCGCCCCTCCCTCCGTCGGCCTTCCTGCCGCTGCAGAAAACAAAAAGTGCAAAATAAAGAGGCACTGCTGCTGCGGCATTTGCTAGTCGCCGTGACGTCTTGTGCTGCTGCTGCTGCTGCTGCTGCTGCAGCCTCAGCTGCAGCAGCAGCAACTGCAGCGGCAGCAGCCGAAACAGCAACTGGGAGCGCTGCAGCTCTTCATACACTGCAGCATCCCTCCTTAACTGCTGCTTTGGAAAGAATTTAAAGCAGAGAAGAAAGAGCTGCTGAAAAGGAGCAGCAGCAGCAGCAGCAGCAGCAGCAGCAGCAACAAGCAGGAAGAAAACAGGCAGCGCCACAAAGAGGAACGGCCCACGGTTTACAGATTAGGGTTTAGGGTTTAGGGTTTAAGGATTAGAGCCGTCTCAAGATCCTTCTCTAAGGCAGAAGGGGCCGTCGACCGTCCTGCGGGTCCTTGTTGCTGCGCTCATTGGCTGGCAGCAGCAGCAGCAGCAGCAGCAGCAGCAGCTGCTGCTGCTGCTGCTGCTGCTAGTGCTGCAGCTCCACACCCAACTTTTGTCTTTTTATTTTTTTGTCCCAGTCTTCCCCGCAAGCCTGTCCGTACGCAGTCTTACCCCGCTGCCCCAAACCCTAAACCCTAAACCCTAAACCCCAAAGACGAACCCCCCTCGATACGGGCCCCAGCCAGCGCTGGGGTTTAGGGTTTAGGGTTTAGGGTTTAGGGTTTGCAGCGGGGGCAAAGACGCCTTCAACGCCTGCCGAGCGGCACACGGCCACAAAACACTGAGCCACTCCTCTCCCGCCCTCCAAACCCTAAACCCTAAACCCTAAACCCTAGGCCCGCAACCCCCCACTGCAGCTCACCGCAGCCCGCCTACCACCTTCTACATGCGATCTGCTGCTGCTGCTCTCGCGCTGCTGCTGCTGCTGGCCCTCAGCGGCCACGCTCGGGCTCTCTCCCGCTGCAGCAGCAGCAGCAGCAGCAGCAAGTGCAGCTGCAGCACGCATGCAGCAGCAGCAGCAGCATTTCTGTCCGCCAGCAGCAGCAGGGCATTCCGCGCCCTAGGGAGGAAACCGCCCAAAGAAACAGCTGCAGCAGCAGCAACGGCAGCAACTGCAACAGCAGCAGCAGCAGCTGCTGCTGCTGCTGCTGCACCAGAGGAGCAGCAACATGCTGCAGTCTTGCTGCTAGCAGCAGCAGCAAACTTGCCCATGGAAGAAATAGAAGCTCTTGAGCAGCTAAGAGCAGCAAAACCCTTTTCGCTGCCGCCGCCGCCGCCGCTGCCGCAGCAGCAGCTGCAGCAGCTGCAGCTGCAGCAGCTGGAGCTGCAGCTGCAGCAGCAGCAGCAGCAGCAGCAGCAGCAGAAGCAGCTGCTGTGGGGATTTATGAGCGTGGAACAGCTGGCTTATCACTACGCCAGGCACCACGCTGGATATGTCAAGACCCTCAACAGTACATTTAGGGTTTAGGGTTTAGGGTTTGGGGTTTGGGGTTTAGCTGCGTTCATTGGGCCTCACAATTTAGGGTTTAGGGTTTAGGGTTTAGGGTTTAGGGTTTGCCTTGTGTGTGGGCTTCTGAAGCTTTTGCGGAGAAGGACAGTCGGCTGCAGGGCGTCTCCCTAGAAGGTGCGGGCTGAGGGTTTAGGGTTTAGGGTTTAGGGTTTAGGGTTTAGGGTTTAAAATCGAGCAGCTGGTTTGGAGACTCAAGATGTTGTCAGCTTTTGTTCGGCAGCACGTTTTGCTGTCTCTTGCTGCTGCTGCTTCTGATGTTGCTGCTGCTGCTGCTGTGCTGCTGCTGCTGCTGCGCTGCTGCTGCTGCTGCTGCTGCTGCTGCTGCAGAAGCTGTGCGCGTACCAGGGCTTCCTGCTGCTGCTGCTAATGCCTGCGGGCAGCACTTCAACCATTCTTTCTTTTTTGCTTCGATTGGTCCCCAAACCCTAAACCCTAAACCCTTGCCTCAAACCCTCAAGCGGATTCAAGAGGGTTTTGGCAGCTTCGAAAACTTCAAGAGCGAATTCAAAGCAGCAGCACTAGGTACGTCGAGGGTTTAGGGTTTAGGGTTTAGGGTTTGGGCGCACGCCTGGCGTCCCGCGGCGGTTTGGCTGCAGCTGCGGGAGGGTTTAGGGTTTAGGGTTTAGGGTTTAGGGTTTAGGGTTTGGCGGCGCGCCTAGGGCTACGCCAGCGGTGGCCTGGCTCGACTTGCCCCGCGGGGCTCATTGTCTGGGGCTTAGGGTTTAGGGTTTAGGGTTTAGGGTTTAGGGTTTAGGGTTTGGGGCTGCGTTCAGGCCACTTTGGCAGCGGCTGGGTGTGGCTAGCCCTCGGCCGCGAGGGTTTGAGGGTTTTGGAAACTCATGATGGTTTGGCTTTGCCTTCTGTGCATCCAGAACTCTCTCCCCTGCTTGTTCTCGGTGAGCTAGGGTTTAGGGTTTAGGGTTTAGGGTTTAGGGTTTAGGGTCTGGGGCCCGGGGCTTGGGGTCTGGGGTTCGAGGCTCCGCGAGGGGCGAGGGTTTAGGGTTTGGGACTTAGGGTCGGAGGTTCAGGGTTTCGCGCAGGGTCTAGGGTTTAGGGTTTGGGGATAAGGGTTTAGGGTTTAGGGTTTAGGGTTTAGGGTTTAGATTTGTGGTTTTCAGATCTGTGGGAGCATGCCTATCACTTGGACTACAAGAATTCGCGCGCTGCATTTGTCGACCGTAGGGTTTAGGGTTTAGGGTCTAGGGTTTAGGGTTTAGGGTTTGGGATTCGAACTAAGGGTTCGTCGTTTGGGCTGTCCTCTGATCCGTTGCTGCGGCTAGCTGCCGCTTGGCAGCAAACTAGCTAGCTAGCTAGCCGGCTAACTAGCTATCTAGCTAGCTAGCTAGCTAGCTAGCCGGCTAGCTAGCTAGCTAGCTAGCTGGCCGGCTAGCTAGCTAGCCAGTCAGCTAGGCTGCTAGCTAGCTAGCCAGCTATCTAGACAGCCAGCTAGCCTGCTAGCTAGCTAGCCAGCCATCCAGCTAGCTAGCTTGCCGGGCAGCCAGCGAGTCAGCTAGCTAGCTGGCCAGGCAGCTAGCCAGCTAGCTGCTAGCCAACTAGCTAGCTAGCTACTGGGCCAGGCCGGGCCAAGGGCCCGCAGCTGCTGCTGCATGCATTTAGGGTTTAGGGTTTAGGGTTTAGGGTTTAGGGTTTGGGTTTTGTGTTGAGGTGTATGCGCAGGTTTCTGGGACGCGATTAACTGGGCGGAGGTGGAGAGGAGAGTGGAGGAAGCGGAGAGTAAAATGAAAACAAATTGAATTAAAATATGAAAAATGCGAAATTAAAACATTAAAAGGGACATTAGAGGACAAACATTTAAAAAAATGCAACAGGAGAAATCAAAGAAACGAAAATTTGAAGTTCAGCCGTTCAGGTGTACAGGCAGCTCCTCAGGTGTACAGGCAGCTCCTCAGGTGTATAGGCAGCTCCAGGTGTACCGACAGCTTCGCTGCACCGCGCGCGAGCGCGCAGAGCGTTTCAATTCTTTTTATTTTCATTAAATCGACGAAATTATTCTTTTTAATTGGCAAAAAGGTCTTTAAATTATTTAATTTGAATGGACGACGAGGGTATCGATCCCTCTACCTCTCGCATGCTAAGCGAGCGCTCTACCATTTGAGCTAGACGCCCGACGGCGGGCTTCTTTCGAGTTGTGGAAATAAACTTCTTTTTAATTCAATTTCATTTTAATTCCTTTTCATTGTATTTCTCTTCTTAAATTAACTCAGGCCTTTTCAACTTCTAATTAGACCTGCTGCAGAACTTAGCTGCAGCAGCAGCAGCAGCAGCAGCAGCGGGGGGCCCCCTGTGGGGGCCCCCAGGGTACTGCTGCTGGTGCCTCGTTTGTCTTTGTAGTTATTGCGGAGTTTATTTTCTTAATTGCTTTAAATTAAATTTAATTGTTTTAATTGAGTCTTTCTAATTTAATTGAATTAAACAAATCCGCAATTATTTTATTTTTATTTGCTTCGATTTGCTGCTGCCGAGTCTTCGAGTCCAGGCAGCAGTTGCGGCTAGAGATGCTGCAGAGAGCAGCAGCAGCAGCAGCGGCAGCAGCTACGCACGCTGCTGCACCTGCTGCTGCTGCGCTCGCTGCTGCTGCTGCTGCTGCTGCTGCTGCTGCTTGGAAGCCCTCCGCAGCCAGGCATCTTTCAACTGCAGCCATAGAGGCGACGAGCAGAGACAGTAGCAGCAGCAGCAGCAGCAAACTCAGCAGCAGCAGCAGCAGCAGCAGCAGCAGCAAACTCAGCAGCAGCAGCAGCAGCAGCAGCAGCAGCAGCAGCAGCAGCAGATTCTTTGGCGGGAGCAGCAGCAGAAGCAGCGCCTCTGGCCATCCTGGCAATGCTGCTGTCGCTCTAAGGCAGCAGCTGCTCCTCCTGTCCATCCGTGCTGCAGCAGCAAACTCAGCAGCAGCAGCAGCAGCAGCAGCAGCAGCAGGGCAGCAGCGGCACCTCCCGCCCGACGTCAGCATAGGGCTGCTTGGCCGTCTCGATGGTTTGTGTCAGCAGGCGTTGCTGCTGCACGCAGCAGCAGCAGCAGCAGCAGCAACAGCAACGACCGCAGCAGCAAATGCTGCTGCGGCGGCAGCAGCAGCAGCTTCCGCCAGTCCAAAAGCAGCAGCAGCAGCAGCAGCAAACTGTTCTGCTGCAGATGTGATGTGGCTTGAGAGTGTTGTGCCGCTGGTGCAGCAGCTAGCTGCTGCAGCTTTGCCTCCAAGGCAGAAGCAGCAGCTGCAGCTGCTGCAGCTCTTGCGGCAGCTGCTGCAGCAGCGTGACTTGCTGCTGCGCTTGAGTCCTGCTGCTGCAGCAGCGCTTGCTGCTGCTGTCGGTCACCTAGGCCTGCTGCAGGGTGCAGCAGCAAAAGCCGTTGCTGCTGCGCTGCTGCAGCAAGTGAACAAACTTCCACCACTGCTGCTGCTGGAGGTGGCTGCAGCAGTTGGACCTGCCCTGCAACAGCAGCAGCAGCAGCAGCAGCAGCAGCAGCAGCACGTGCTGCAGAAGCTGCAGCGCAAGCTGAAGCAGCAGCTGCAGCGAAACAAAGCAGCTTGCGAGAGCAGCAGCAGCAGCATAATCAGGTGTCTGTACACCCGAGCTGCTGTTGGGGGCCTCACATCTTCCGAAGGGGAGCAGCTGCAGCAGCAGCTGCTGCAGCAGCTGCAGCAGCAGCCGCTGCTAGACAATGAAGAGCTAGTGCAAGCAGCAGCAGCAGCAGCAGCAGCCCGCTGCCGCAGCGAGATGCTGCTAGTGCAGCTCTGCCGGCATTTGCTGCTGCGGCTGGGCGGACCCGACTTGCTGCAGCAAGACCAGCAGCAGCAGCAGCAGCAGCAGCAGCAACAGCAGCAACAGCAGCAGCAGCAAGACGTCATGCCGGCGCACCTGCAGCAGCTGCAGCAGCAAGACCTGACGCAGTTTTTGCTGCAGCTGCTGCTGCTGCAGCGTTTTGGGCCCCCAGGAATGGAGGGGAGGCCTTTGGCCTTCTGCATCCACGCGGTACGCTTGCTGCTGCTGCAGTTGCTGCTGCAGTTGCTGCTGCTGCTGCTGCTGCTGCTGCTGCTGCTGCTGTTTTTGTTGCTGCTGTTGCTTTTGTTGCTGCTGCTGCGAAAGCGCCTGACGTGCTGCTGCTGTTCCTGCTAGCTTCAACACTTTTGTTTTTGCTGCTGTTGCTGCTGCTGTTGCTGCTGCTGCTGCTGCTGCTGCAGGTTCTGCTGCCTCACTTGCGTGAGCTGCCTGCTGCTTCGCTGCAGCTGCTGCTGAGCGCGCTGGAGCTGCTGTCCCTCCAGGCGCCCCGTCGAGTGCAGCAGCAGCAGCAGCAGCAGCAGCAAAGTGTCCGTGCTCTGCTGCTGCTGGCAGTGCATGCAGCAGAGGCAGCAGCAGAACAGCAGGCGCAGCGGCTGCAGCAGCCGCAGTTGCTGCTGCTGCTGCGTTGCGTCGCACGGCTAGCTGCAACTGCCACTGCTGCTGCTGCTGCTGAATGCAGCACTGACAGCAGCAAGCAGCAGCAGCAGCAGCAGCAGCAGCAGCAGCAGCAGCAGGAAAGGGCTACACTTCTTCCCCTTGTTCCCCGTCTTGCACTGGTAAGTGCTGCCTGCAATTTAGCAGGCGGCACCGTCAGCTGCAGCAGCAGCAGCAGCAGCGGCAACAGCAGCAACAGCAGCAGCACGAGAACCTGAGGTAGAAGCAGCAAGACAAGAAGCAGCAACGACAGCTGCTGCAGCAGCTGCTGCTGCTGCTGCTGCAGTTATTTGCTTCTTGCTCGCTGGGTGTCTTCAGGCTGCTCGGTACTCTCTAGAAGAGCTCTCCAGGCACTTCGCGCTGCAGCGGACCTTTTTGCTGCTGCAGCAGCCGCAGCAGCAGCAGCAGCAGCAGCAGCAGCAGCAGATAACAGCAGAGCCAGGAGGAGCAGTGCCTGCGAAGCAGCACCTTTCGCCAGGGACTGCTGTCGCCGCCAGGCTCATTGCTGCAGCTAGCAGCAGCAGCAGCAGCAGCAGCAGCAGCAGCAGCAGAAGCAGCAGCAAAGACCTACAGAGTGTCGCAGAAGCCGCTGTGGAGACTCTGAAGGTCACTTCTTCTCTCATGCCGTTCCTTCTCATAGGGAAGGTACCGCTGCAGCAGCAGCAGCAGCAGCAGCAGCAGCAGCAGCAGCAGCTGACGCAGCAGCAGCAGGAAGCTGGACAGCGGGAACCTGGTGCCTTGCTGCCTCTGCTGCAGCAGCTGCTGCCGCTGCTTTCGCATGCGTTTGCTGCCTCCAATGAAGCAACAGCAGAGGCAAACAGAGCAGCAGCAACAGCAGCAGCAGCAGCAGCAGCAGCAGCAGCGGATCATCTCCGCCCAGCTGCTGCTGAGGCAGCAGCCTCGCTGCTGCTGTGCCTTGCGCCTTTGCTGCAGCTAAGCAGCAGCCTTAAAGGGGGCCCCTGGGGGCCCCCAAAAGTACCCTTTTGGGGGCCCCTGGAGACAGACGCAGATGCACACGGGGCTGC